TGTAGAACCGAAAAACAGATTGAGTTTTTCCATTGTTGTCATTTTTTATATGCCCGGATTAGAACATAATTTGTCTTAAAATGACGGGAGGCCTCTTCGTGTGCTTCACACGTTGAAATATTTTGGAAAACAGTACCAATTTTGGCAAGCCTCTTGCCATGTAACAAACAACAGCAAATGCTTTTCTCCTTGAGTGTTAAGTCTGTCATGAATAAGATTATAAAATATAGTTTGCTCTTTTATTTTGCTCTTGTTTGAGGATTTTATCACATCTTTGTGATAATTGATTCCTTTCACATTCCTGCATAAGTGGTCTTCATTGTACCTGCTCTTTAAAACAGACCTGAAACCGAACCTGCCCCTAGGTAGACAGGAGGACACATGGGGAACTGTCCCGTGTGCCTGCCTTCCCACCCTCGGGCAGGAGGCACTCTGGAAACACTATATCCAGAAGCAAGTGCCTTGGTGAGCAAAAAGGCTATGATGAGCTTCCTCTTAGGGTCACAGAAAGACGCCCATGAGGAGTACGCGACGGAAAAACAGGGAGGGCAAGCCTAACACTCAAGGAAAAGGTGGCAGGGTGGCTGTTAAAGCGGAGCCAACAATATTATAAGGAGATACAAGCAAAACTAATGCTTAGTTTTCACTTTCTGTATGATTGGAGAAGAGATGCATATGTATGATGGAAAGGAAGTAACTGACAAATAAGTAGGGACGAGAACATAAACGTTCTTCTTGCCAGGATGAGAATCTGGACTTCCTCCTTATGCAGGGGACCAAAACTGGCATGGGGCCTGTTGGTTCCTTCCTTGCTTCCTTCTAGCAGCCAAATTCAGCTCTATACAAATCTACAATCTCCCTTGTCTTTAGTGATCAGAGAGCTTGTTGAAATATCTGAGTAAACATAAAACTATTCCAATTCAGTTGCTCATATCTCTGATTACCTTGCCATCTCTACAAGTAAGCAAAATCTGTGCAAATGCACATAACCTGAGGAGATTTTCCAAAGCTTTCATCATATTTGTAAAAATCTAAAACTCTTAAGATTCACTACTCTAGTATGTGTCAACTTTACACTCTTCCCAAAATCACTTTTATTTAAGAAGAGTTCTTTTGTATTCCCTGACACCTACCAGTCACTTGTCATACAAGCAGGGGCAGTACTTGCTGCATCCTCTTATTTCAAATGGAAGACTTTCCCTGGAGCAGCTAGATCTGTGACTAACTCACAGTTGAGTCTCACTGCAATTACTATTCTTTGGTGCTTTGGGATTTTCACTGCTTATATGTGAGAAGTTTGAGACAAGGAACAAAATTCAGAAATTTGAATTCAACAATTGAAGGTTGTAGGAACACAGATAGCAGACAACAGAGGTGATGAATCTGTGGCAGGTGTGTGGAAGCAGGCATTCAGGGCTCCCTCTGCTGGCATAGAGCCAAGCCACCACAGCATTGCCCCAACAGCAGACCATTTGGGTTATTTTTATTTTATTTTATTTTATTTTATTTATTAATTTTATTGAGAAACAGCAATGAGACAGTTTCAAAACCGATTAGTAGGACAGTTTCAATAATTAATACATTGCGTATTGTTGTCTCATAGTGGTTATTCATAGTATGAGATGCAGACATGATATCCTGTCCAAATACTATTAGTACAAATCTTTCTTCTCATTGAGTTAAGAGAAAGCAGCTGCATATCTATCCTATTTTGTATATACAGATACAAAATGGTCCTTCCAGGGCTGGGGAGATAGCTCAGTAGAATAAGTGCTTGCCTGGCAAGTACCAGGGCCTGAGTTCAAT